TCCGTGAATCATATAGTCAACATTTTCACTGATGATTAAGTAATTTTAACAACTTAATCATTGACTAACGTTCTATAGAAAAATCATGATTTAGTTAAATAAAATGTAAATTTTAGCTCTAGGTAAATTCAAACATTTGCTAGTTGCCTACCTACATGTGATAAAGTAAAATAAGTATCCAAATACCCTTCTCAAGTGAAGTCATAAGGGTATCACCTTCTTATAAACTAGGGGTATTTTAGGTATTAAAATTATTAAAAACTTAAGAGGAAACACTAGCACAACTTCAGCGAAAATACATCTTTGCCTTGTCAATATTGTCCTCTCATATGTGTACAACCACTCCTTGCCCCACACTCGGCTGGCCACCGATAATGTCGAAGAGTAATGCACACATACCCCGCTAACCATTCTTTAAATGTCTATGGTGCTGCATGACTATACTCCCAACTTGCTTGCCAACCTAGCTGGCCAACAAGTCCCCCAACTGTCTTTTGACCCACTTGAGGGCCCGGTGGGTCCCCCCTTTTTTTATAGATTTATTTTATTTTATTTCTCTTTATTTTTATCTCAAAAATATCATTATAAAAAATAAATTCACAAAATCACATAATTAGCCTAACATTCACATTAATTGACTAGAAATTATTTTTCTAAATTTGGCACAAATATAAGTCTATTTATTATGAGTTAAGGCTTAAAAAATATTATTAAATAAACTATTAACTCATGATAATGAATACTTATTAGATAATTTTAGATTACATCATAATTGTTGAGAGATTATTAGATAAAATTGGCAAGAAGTTCAATGTAAAAGGAAGGAAGTTCTCTAGAGGATACAAAAATTAGAAGATTTCAAGATTTTACAAGTTTTCTCAAGTTGAGATCACTCTGAATGACAAACACACACAAATAGAGTAACATCCGCCAATTACAACTTTAATTCTTCTTTTCATAGCACTTTATTTTTTATCTTCCTTAATCCTTCATTTGGATGACATGCAGAAAATGAATTTAAGGCTTTCAATCTATTTTTTTACTACTTTTTAAATAATTTCACATACATTTTTGATACTCTATTTTTTAGTGAAAAAAAGAGCAGTAAACAGTCTTTTCAAATTAGATATCTATTTTTATTTGATTTCATTTTCATTTTAGCTTATTTCTTCATCAAGTGACAAGTAAAAGATGAGATTTAGCATTTTAATTCCAAGTTTTAATCACTTTTAATCACTCTAAATTCCAAGTTTTAGCATTTTATTCATAGATTTACTTGATTTGATTAGTTTTTATACTTATGATTTTAAGGATTTTAATGAAAGTTCATTGGTTAAGATCGTTCAAAGAAATTTATTTTCATAGATTATTCAATTTTAATACAGATTTGGATCGAAAACATTTTCCTCTTTTTCATTGGTAGAGTTACTCTACTTGCTGATGACTTGAGGTTTTCGTTTTATATTCAATTGTTATTTCATGATTTTACTTTATCTGATGAAAGTTAATTTATTAAATATCATTTAGCTCCATTTATTGTGAATGATTAGTAAGTTTTATTTACTGCAATTCAGCCTAAATCCTTTTCTATTTGACTACTAGTGGGATTTCCCTATCATAGGTTGTATTTTCTCTCTCCTCCCATGTTTTCCCAATTTTAGGTTTATTTTCTGTCATTTATTTTCTTTTATTTTAGTGATTTTCTCTATCATTTTCTCTAAAATATTTTATATGTCTTGAGTCATTTACCAACACTCAGACATGGAAACACCTCAAAATTGAAAGATTTAGAGCTCAAGTAATTTGGAAGATGTAAAGCATAGAGGAGATTATTTTTTATTTTCTTATTTTATGCTTTTTCTGTTTCACTAAATTCCTTAGAACGAAAAAATATTCATATTGAGATTGACCATCATCCCTACAAACAATCCAAATTCAAAAAAAATCCTTATAACTATTATTCTGAATTTAGTTTATGATTTTTAAAATTTGATCATTTTGTTTACAATGACTAAAGTAATATTAGATTGGGGTTGGCAATTGTTCCTATGCTCAAGCTTTAGGGTCCTTCCTTTCTCTCTCCTTTTCTCATCTTTTGAAAACCTCCTAATAAGTATTCATTATTATGAGTTAATAATTAATTAATAATATTAACTCAAGCCTCAATTCATAAGAAATAGGCTTATATTTATGTTAAATTGAGAAAAGGTATTTTTAGTTGATTAATGTGAATTTTGTGGCTAGTTATGTGATTTTATGTAAATTTATATGATTTTTATAATCATGTTTTTGAGATAAAATGAAAATAAATAAAAAATATAGAAAACAATAAGACCCCTATGTAGGTCGAAGGCATTGTCAAAGGAGTCACTAGCCAGCCAAAACCCACATGCATGTTGGAGGCACAATTAGGGGAGCCATGAACTAGGGGCTCTAGTGGTTAAGGACCAATTAGGGCCTATGTGCATCATTCCCCTTCCACATCATTGGTGGCCACCCATGTATGGGGCAAAAGGTGGTCGTACACACATGGCATGTAAATATGGTGATGAGAAAATGAGGTATTAATATAAATAAATATATATATATCAAACATAAAGAATAGTCAATGTGGGACTAAACCTATGTCAGTGTTCACTAGCATAGATTAGTATTTTATACTAAAAATACCCCTGACTTATGAGAAGGAAACACCTCCCTAATGTCACTAGGTCAAGAATATGTGGGTGATTCATGCCCTCTTTCTCGTGTAACCAAGTGACTAGCATAGATTCAAATCCTACTAAGTTAAAATTTATATTTTTTATCTATTTAAATCATAATTTTTCTATGGAACACTGATCAACAATTAAGCTATTAAAATCGTTCTCACATTGAAAAATTTTCTGTAAAAAATATTCACAGATCATGATTAACAACAAAGGATTTTAAATATAAAAATCATACATTATTCAAAGAAATCATCTCAAATTGATTAACAAATGAGTTATCATTGAGAAGAGGACGATCCACCAAGAGACAAGCTATCACCTCCTCACAACATACTAAATGTGATTAAGAGCCACCTCTTATTATGTGAACTTGAGTATGAAGCTCCTTAAGATAAATGAACTTCCATCCAGCTTATCTTTATTAGATAACAAACGTTGAAAATCTGAAAGTTGCTGAATTTCTACTCTATCAAATTTTTATTTTTTTTAATCTCATGCTCTTCACAATATGTGAGAAATTAAGATAATATATTTTAATTCATTATTAGTTCATAAAACTATGTAATTTATACTCTTTCATTATTATGTTAATTTATTATTTTACTAAATTTGTGTAAGTTTACTTCTATTTTTCCCATTTTATCTTTTTTCAAAACTTCTAACTTATACTTCGTGAAATAAACCCAAACCTTTCTATATAAGTCATCAATAAAAGTCACAAAATAATAAAAGCCACATTTTGATGTTATATCCTTAGGCCCCCATACATCAAAATGAATGTAATTTAATACTTTCTTACCATTATGAGTTGTTGTTTTGAACTATAACTTAAATTTCTTTTCATAACATAATATTTCTACAAACCTAATTTACAAGTTTAGACTTCCTCAAACAGTCCTTGCTTATAGGTTCATCTTATATCATTCTCACTAATTGGTCCAAGCTAAAGTGCCATAATAGTTTGAAAATTTTCGAAAAGGCATTGTGTTGTTGATGAAGCTCCACCTTCAACAATGCTCCCCAAAAGTCATTAAATATTACCTATTAGTTTTTTTCCTTTCATCATTATTATCTCTCCTTTATGAACTTTCAAAATTCTATTTTCAGCCTTGAAAGTATAACCGATTGAATTTTATGTTCTCAAAGAAATTAGATTCCTTCAAGACCATTAATATGTCTCTCATTCTCTAAACTTCTCATAGATTTACCAAACATCTTAGTTTTCATGATACTAATCCCAACAACCTTGCACATAATAATACAATCTAAAATAGAAGTCTTATAAATGTTAAACCAATACAAATTTGGACATATATGAGATGCACAGCCCAAATCGAAAATCTATGAATCTGCAAATTTTAATTGCAGCCAATACAAACATCAAATCCATGACATTACTTTGTGATTCATCATTTACAAGATTTGTAGAATTTGATGAATTATTCGTAGTACTCTTCCCATGCTTTCTTTTCGAGCAATCTCTCTTTTAAGTGCCCCATTTCATGACACTTATGACATTCTTATATTTTAAGCTAACATGCTCTAGACTTTGTTCTAGCCTCTAATTTTCTCGTTTCTTTTAACATTCCTCTTTCCTTCTACCTTACTCATTCCCTTCCCCTCTTAACCATCAACCCTTCATCCTGCATATTATAGAAGTTCACCTTTCTTCGATAATGTTATAAGAGAGCAGATGACACATCTTCACACTATAGAGTGTCTTTTCCATGTAACAATGTTATTGGAAAAATATTTATATGAGGTCTGAACAGAACAAAGAAGATATAAAACTTTATCCTCATTCAGATTTTTCTAATTTCAGCATATCATTTATGATTTGACTAAAATTATATATACGTGATGTAAGATTGTATCATTTTACCATATATAGTGCATAATATATATATCTATATATATATATATATATCAATGTTTAAGGAACAACTTATTAATCAATGATTATGAAATGAATCGATTGCTTAATTTTGGCAAAAAAACAACAGGTGAATCCTCATCTAGGACATGATATAAAATATTTTTCTTAATACATAAATCTAATAATGTTAGTTACTTTGTTTTCTAATTTTTCCAAGTCATAATATGTCATTAGTTTAGGTTTATTTTCTTTTCCATAAAATTTAATATCTAGATCTTACATGACAAATAGATCATTCATCCTTCACTGCCAAATGCTAAAATTATATGTTCCATCATATTTCTCCATATCAAATCTGGAAAGAAAAGTGTTTGTCGTTTTTTGTCCCTACTTGTTTGAATGTCTTCAAACATTCAAGTAAAAAAAATATAGCAAGAAACAAACTGATTTGAGGATAAGGAGAAACTTTTAGTGTGAAAGATATGATTCATTTCTCTTCTAGGATCTAGTCAATGTAGCTTCCAAGATCTAACCTCTTTACCTTTCTAAATTGACTTCAGAGGTCTGACCAACCCTCAAGCTCCTTTGTTCTTCTTCTAAGAATAATCTATCTTCTATTTTCATACTTACAAAAACAGCTTGACTTCAAATAGTCTCTTTCGTACTACCTGTGAGAGGAGAACCAGATCTTGCCTTGCAATAGAAGGGAAGGACGGGAGAAACAGCAAGAGCCAATGCAGAAACATGAAAAGGTAAAAAACCAAAATTTAGGTCTAATTTGAAACGCCCTAAATCGGTCTCTAAAATGACTATTTTTGTGTACCTCCCTTCTCACAATAGAGTTAGAAAAATGCTCCTTAAAATGTCCAAAAGAGATGCCAAGTTTGGAGCCTCCTACTATGCTGCTGTTGGCTCATACCTCAACTAGGCTTTATTCAGTGGGTTGTCCAAGGTCCATTGGACTGTGCAACAGGCAAGCTGCTGCGGTCCTCCGCAGGTGATTGCTTCTCCGACCCCATGCTCGGGAAGCAGACATGCCGCTCAACTGCCTACCCAGCCCCCACCATTCAAAACCAACACCGGTCGGACGGTTTCCAAAATAGGCGATTGCGAATTGAACAGAACTCGCCGCAGTGCGATATCACGGCGAGAGCTCACCTTACAGCCTGACCGGAATTCCGAGCACTAAGACAAAAATCAGTCAAGTGCGGGCGGTAGAACGAGCCGAGAGAGACGAGAATTCTCCGTTCTCCGAGAGGCGAAAAATCACTCGGCGCGGGCGGTAGAACGAGCCGAGAGACGAGAATTCTCCGTTCTCCGAGAGGTGAAAAATCACTCGGCCGGACGGCGACGGCTACCAAGGTGTCAGTGCCGATCGGCCCGCCTGCCGCCAGTGACTAGATATATACTTTCCCGATTTCTCTCGAATATTCCCCCTCAACCTCTTCACGACGTCATCTCCCTATGAGAAGGCGAGGGAGGGACTTTCATATACAAAAAAACTAGACGAATAAGTTGCGTACTTAATAAAATGGTATTATTATGAGAATATCCCGAGCCAACCATGACTGTACAGCAATAAATTAGCTTTCAGCCCTCCAGCCGGACAGGAACTTTCGTATAAACACTCGAGCCCCGAAAATTAAATTTACAGTCCCATTTTGAACTCCTCCCCCGTTTCTTCTCTGGCCGTCGAAGCAGCATTTTTGTGCACTTGCTCTATTGGTGCGGAGTCAACTAGTTAATCACTCAATGAGGCGTTCAGTGTTTACAGGCATCCAACCGGTTGACCAGATAAAAAGGAAAACTCATCCGCTGCCCCCTCTCCGCCGCCAAAAGCATGGACGGCTCGTCCTTCATCTCACTCTGCCACCGCAGCTGACTCAAGGTTCACAGGGTCAGCAAAGCAGCCCGCTAGCGCTCTTCAGGTTGTTTGACAGTGCGAAGTACGAAGAGGAGAAATCGAGCTCGTACAGAAAGAACGGGAACACGGCGCACACAGTTTCAGGCATACAAGGGATGATTCAAGGCATACTAGCGTTGACTAGTTAAGATGGAGCAGACCAGACGACCTCACGGTATATCTATAATGCCAAGGACTGGTAGCGTTGACCGATTTCCCTCCTCCGCCGATAGAGGACGACGACGGCGGAGGCCACGGTTATGCCGCCGAGGAGGACCCAAAAATAGTTGGAATGCAGCAGACGGCCCTGCAGAAATGAACCACGCTGAAGGATTAGGGTAGACGACGATGGCGGGAGTAACGTAGAGTTCGAAGTACCGGTGCAAGCAGCAAGAAAGATTTGCAGGGTCAGGGGAGGGAGGAGGAGGGCTTCCTTACGGTCAACTGAACGGTGCTCTCCGGCGGGTCAGCTACCAGGATGTAGAAGAAACCCATGACCCCCGAGTGCGGCTCGGTGGCGTTGTAATTGGAGATGAGAGTCACCCTCTCCCCCGAGGTCACCTTCACGGAGCCTGGACTCGGATAGCAGGTCGTCATTCCGACAACGTAGCCGGCTTCATCTCCCGCCTTCTCTCCCCGGCCGTAGATCGGCGTCGAGGAGCATAGCGTCCGCCCGTCCTGGATCCATTTCGACGGCGAGACAGTGAGCCGACGGCAGAGATGGAACCAGTACCGGCGATTTTTTGAAGTCGGCGCCAGTGGCAGGATCGGTTACCTGGCCGTAGAGGGCGGCGCCGACTCCGCCCCTGTGCTGGTGGGCGACGGCGTAGACGATGTTGCCTCCGCTAGGAAGAACCAGAAACGCCCTCTTGCTGTCGATGCAGGCGCCGCTGGCCTCCCGACCACAGGGCGCAACGTGGTACTCCACCTGGAGTAGGAGACGGCGTGGGGAGGGTCATTAGGGATGTAAGTTCTCCGGAATCTTGAGGATGGATGACGGAGGTTTACCTGGCAGTCATTGAACTCATCCGTCGACGCTACTGGTCCTCTCTTCCCATCATCAGTGACATCGAGGACGTAAAGCTTGGTCGGGACGATGCCGGCGGCCCAGTCGAGCCACTTCACTTCGTACCTCATGAAGAGCTTCCTCGGGGCGCCACCGGAGCCTTCGCCGGTGCGGCAGCGGGCCTTATCGTGGCAGCAGAGCACGCCTCCGGGGTAATCCTTCCCCAGGGGCCGGCCGCTCTCATCGACGGTCACGTTGTAGAACTCGCACCTGCACTCGATGCAACCCAGGCGGTCGACGACGCCCCTCGTGTCGATCGCGTGGACGTTCATCATCCACTTCTCCTCGTACCCGGCGGGCACCTCCGCCGGGTTCCCGACCTCAATCCCGTACGGGTCGGGGACCCAGGTGACCGTCCGGCGAGTCTCTGACCCGAGGCCAAAGGTCTGCCGGAGAATCTTCTCGCAGGTGCCGGCGTTCCCCGCGAGAATGTACTCGGGAGGGCCTTTCGAAGGGGAGGCGTTCCCGGTAATAAGGGACTCGGGAGGCTCCCGTGGCGGGCCGGCGGCGCCGCTGCGCTTCCGCTGGTAGTACCTCACCACCAACCAGTGGTGGATGTAGGCATCGTGGAGAGGGACGGGGTTTCCCGCCTCATCGACCAACTCCGCCCTGAAGTCCTTCAGGGCGATGTGGCCTCGCGGGAAGCCGATGTCGCCGTAGTATTTGCCCTCCACCGACCCGGGGCTCAGCGTGAACGGCGGCGAGTGGAAGACCTTACTTCTCAGCGGGGCTCTCTCCGCGGCGGTGCTCACTGGAGACGAGTGGACAGCCATGGCGACGATCACCGCCACCCGCAGCCACCATAGGAAAGAGCTCGTCATCGATGGAGTTCTAAAGAGAGAGCTGAGGGAGGAAGTTCCCAACCCCAGGGAGTGATGAAGAGGGAGGAGGGGGTGCTGGCTCTTCCTGGAGGGAGGGCATGAAGATGTGAAGGAAGAGAAGACCTTTCGGACGAATGGACGGGGATCTGGAGCAGTTGACGAATGAATGGATGGAGGTCAGCAAGCCATTAACGTCAGGCATTGCGCCATTGGCACGCCATTATCATCAGGCATTCCGCCATTGGCACGCTATTAACGTCAGGCCTTGCGCCATTAGGCATCGTTATCAGTGGTTGAAAGACGATTGGCTTAGAAAAGAAAAAAAAAGAAGTTTGATATAATAGAGACAGCGATAAGGACCCCGTAAAACCTTCAACTGTATTTCCTTCCGCCGAGCAGAGGACATCGGAGAGAAATACGCAGCGAGAGAGAGAGAGAGAGAGAGCTTCAAGTCATGAACATTGGAGGCGGTGCAGCGGTCGTCCCTGCTCATTGTTCGACGAGAGGAGGGCTATCCCTTCCTTGGGCGGCCGCGGCGGCGGGAAGGGGATTGTATAGGCGGCCCATGTCCGCAGGAAGAGGGCTGCACTGAAGCATACCCCAACTGTCGTGATGCAGCCCCACAACCAGAACGTCGCGGCGTAGCAGCGCCTCCCCCTGCACCCCGTGCTGCCGGCACCGGTGTCATAAAGGAGCGCCGCAAGGAGGCCGTAGATGAGGGAGCCGAGCGGGATGTTGGTGACGAGGATGTTGTGGTTCACCCCGACGCTCTCGGCGCCGAAGAGCTCCGCTGTCACCGCCACCGCCGCCGCGAAGACGAAACCCGAGCTGAGCGCGACCGCCGCCGTGCAGAACGGCAGCATCCCGCCGCAGTTCCCCCACCCGGCGAGCAGGAAGAAGGCGGCGGGCATCGGGGCCAGCCCCGCCGCCAGCCACCCTGTTCTCGCGATTCCATTCCCTCTTCCTGCCACAATCGACGAGCCATTACGGTCCGCACCGCCTGCTGTCATGGTTATCGGGTACCGTCCGTCGGGGGAACTCACCTGCGAGGAGGTCGGGAACAGAGGCGAGGAGGCGGCCGAAGAAGGAACAGGAAGAGTAGAGACCCACCAGCGCCGCCGTGCTCTCGCCGCCCCTCCCCTGGCTCTCACGGATCTGACCAAGATTGTTGCTGTAGACCAGCCCCACCGTGCCCCCGCAAAGGTAGGCCAGGTAGTAGACCCAAAAATCCACCCGGCTCACCAGCCGCCGGGGCCCGTGCTCCTCTCCCACCGCGGACAACCGACCCCTCCCCAGCCACCGTCGTCCTCCCACGCCGCCGCCGGCTAACCAGTGCCTCCCTCGGGGGGATCCCTCTGCTTTGGCAGAGAGCAGCTTGCGAAGGAGCTCCAGATCCTCGGGACAGTTCCGGGTGCGCCCACCCCGACGCCAGACGCGGAGGAGAGGAAGGAGGAGGAGAAGGGACCCGCCGCCGAGGAGGAGGCGGGTAGCGGGAGCGGCGCCGGAGGAGGGGGGGAGGAGGAGGAGGTGAACTCCCGCGAGGACGGCGAACCCGAGGAGGAGGAGGAAGACACCGTCCTCGGATTCGTCATCGTTGCGACCGTGGTCGGCTGCTACGGTGCCCGGGGATGAGAAGCGGAGGGCGGGGGGGAGGGCGACGGCGGATGCGAGGAGGGGGATGGTGGCGCTGAGGAGGAGGTAGGAAGACCCGGAGGGATGGTGTCCAGGGAGGGCCGTGGCGAGGAGGGCGTAGAAGCCAGCGCTGGCCCCATTGAAGCTGACGGAGAGGGAGAGGGCGAGGGAGCGGTGGCGGGGGGAGGGGAAGGCGCGGGTGCAGAGGGCGAAGCAGACGGTGTTGAACCAGCAGATGCTGCAGCCCGCCATCAAACAGAGGATGAACACCTGTGAACGACATCTCGGTATTAAAACCCTTCCGCCCCGCGAAGGGAAGCCAGAGAAGAGGAAGACGGTGGGCCAGCTCCGATCGCCATTGCCGTCAAGGACCTTCGCTTACAGAGGGGCTCACCGAGGAGTATTGGAGAGGGAGGTGGCGGGCGACGAGGAGCCACTGCAGGCCGTACCCGAGGAGGCCCATTCCCGCCGCGACGGCGACGACGGCGGGGAGGGGGAGGCGGAGAGCGGCCACGCCGGCGGACCAGCCGAGGACCTTGCCGAGATCGGAGGCCAGGGCAAGCCCGTTGAGCCCCACCTGTGAGGCCCCCAGCGCGGCCTTCAGACTCGTCGAGTACGCCGGGAAGTTGAAGTTGGTCCCTGCGGCCGCCTGGATCAGCACCGCCGTCGCCAGCGCCGCCCACCTCCACACCTCCCCGTCTCCCATGACCGCGCCTTCCCCCTGCTCCCCGGGAAATGTGTATCTAACGCCGGGCGACGGGAGCCCAAAGAGAATGACAGACGCCGGCGACGGCGACTGAGAGGGAAGGTGGTGTGGGTGCCGTCGAAGGAACGTAAGGTGGCATGTGGCATTGTACTAATTTTCGACTTGAATGGCAATTTAAGAAGCATATGTTTAATGTGACACGGCGGTGTAGCAGAAAGAATGAGAAGAACACAACCCGGCAGCTCTCTGTACAGTTCCCGTATATGACCGCCGGTCATCGGAGCTCTCCGGCATCCTGCCGGAGCTGTCCAAGTGCACAAAACTTCAGGCGGAAAAAGCGCCGCCGCGCCAGGGCTCGGAAAAAGGTGACGCCTCCGCACTACCCGGTCAGTCGATCTCCCCCTCCTCGACGTCGTTAGCACCGCCATGGCCGGCGGCGGGCTCGACCTCGTCTTCCTCCTCGTCTGCCTTCATGTACAGGCCGAGCTGCTCCAGCGGGTTGCTGCCGGTGAACTTGAAACCGCCGTCCTGGGAGAGGTCTGGGCTGGTCTCGTCCATGGAGCTCGGGAGGTGCTGGTCGGCACCGAGCATCTCCAGGTCCTTGAGGAACCGGCTGTTCTCGCCAATCTCCACCGTCTTCTCCATCTGGCAAAACAAGCTCATCATCATAAGTCAGCCAGGGTGAACCACCACCATTACCACCAAGCATCGGCACTGCCGACGGCAAACCGGAGGCCACACCTTCAGAAGGGCCTGGCGCGCCGCCTCTCGCTCGAGCTCTCGCTTCCGCTTGGCCTCGGCAGCGGCTCTGGCCTCCACCTGCAGCCGCAATTCCTCTGCGGTTCTGGCCTCCGCCTGCAACCGGGCCCTCTCTGCACAGCCAGAAAATATTAGCATCCATCCTGAGAGCGGCAGCAGCAGCGATCATCCACAGGAGCAGCGGCAGCCAGACCTTCCTGCTGCTGCCTCTCAAGCTCTTTCCTCTCCCGCCGAAGCTTCTCGGGGTCCCCCTTGTCAACCTGGGCAATATCACACCACAATCAGACGCCATAAAACCTCCGAGGCTTATATAAAAATGGTACCTGTGATGGAGACTTCCGAGACCAAACCTTGTCGAGGGTCTTCTCGCGTGCCTTGAGGATGGTATCCGCAAAGCGACTCCTCAGTAAGGCAGCACGGTAGAGCTTTTCTGGGGAGACCTGCCTCTCAGATGGAGCATGGCCCCCTAAAAGTTTTCATACGGAAAAGACAAGGCTAAGTGCCTGATCAAATTCTCAAGGCCCCACTACATCTTTCACAGCTCTCTCTCTCTCTCTCTCTCTCTCTCTCTCTCTCTCTCTCTCTCTCTCTCCCTCTCTCTCTCTCTCTCTCTGAGTAATCCATGCTTACCCTCATGGCGATCATCTGCTTCGCCAGATGCGGCATTGAGGTCGCCCCTCTGCTTGGGCTGTTCCGAGCCACCACTGGCATAACCTAGATGTAACCCAAAAGAAGATAGGAAGTCAGAAACTGACGCATCTGGGGGGCAAGAAGAGTACTCAACAAGACTGAGCACAGAGGGAAGCCGTTCAGAAGAAGCGCAGCTTACGATTTCCATCGATCTGGTTCGCCATCTCATGCTCAAAAGTAGGGACGGACATCGCGGTGTCCTGCAATAAGGGAAATCCATCTCATTTCCTCTCCCATAACAGAATCGGATGCAATGAAGTATGAAAGGAGTGGGAGGCATACATACCTTCACGTTAGTGTTCGTGGGCAAGGGGCCCTTCGCTGCGAGTGATTCATTTCCAGACGAACTCGCTGAATCCGATTCTGTCAGAATTGGGAGATTATTGAAGGTGCGAATAAATACATTAAATTCGCCGAATGTAGAAGACCCACGAAAATCTACAACGAGCTAATTTTTTTCATCACTGTTCCTTTTGCGTCCTCCAAAAAAACCACACTTCATCCTGCAAAGAGCATCTATGGATCTAGCAGTAGCACACCTCGGTGCTGGCTTCTACAGAGACAGACTAGAAAGGCCAAGGAAAGTTACACACACAAACAGAATCCAGGGGGGCCTTCAAGTCCGTCCGCCAGAACCAGGAAAGGAAGATCACGAGTTCATGAAGAATAAAACCTCGAATCAAAAAAATCTCTCTGATACCATCGAGGAATTAGATCAGCCAGCAGTTCATCAAATGCTAATTCATGCCAAGATAGATGGCTCGACTGAAGACGGGAGATAATAGAGGACCTCGGAAGGATTAATCTATCAAAATTAGATTCAAAATGAACGAGGAAGGAGGCTGTGAAATATGTCGAAAAATTATGATACATGGGACAAAAGGGCTGCTGATTAAAACCATACTTTATTAATAAAAATGGAGCAGGAAAAAAAAAGAAATTGCAAATTAAGGGGGATGCCGGCGGTTTTCTCTGTGATGGATGCCTCTGACCATGTTGGTGTTTGGTGTGGAATCAACCAAATAATTTTAGACGGCTACGTTTAGGTCATTAGATATCAAACAAGAGGAAAGAAATTAAACAATTTGAGCAGAAATAGAGTAAAGTCAAACTCCACCACACGTAGGGACAGAATTGGTCACTTCAGATATAGTTCCTTTTACCAGCAATGTCGAATAGAACCTTTACCAAACTCAAAAGGGCATAGACGACATTACAAGAGCCATGAGAACTCTTCAGCATTCGGCAGTAGATTACATGACCAATTGAGAAAATTAAGCCATATACTTCCCAATATATTTCATGCTTCTCCCTAGAATCGCCCAGAATGTCTTCCCAATATTCTCCATAGAAATTCTTCTCTCGTAAATGGACTGTGTTGCTACACATACTCTAAGGAGACATGATCTTCTAACTTCAAAAAGAGACAGGATTCCCTGACGAAGGTTCAGGATTAGTTTGTCCATGTACAAGGAAAAAAAGTAAGAGTCAAACAGAATACTCGATACAATCTCTATAAATTTATAGCTTCCTTCGTTACACCTATCCGAGTTCCTCTCGAAACTCCATTTATTGTTCGAAACTGTCACAAATTAATGATTGAATCTATTAACAAGCATTCTCATCAGTCTCCCTCTATACTCAAGCCACCCGAACTGATATCCACAGACTTAATCACCGATTAATACTCACTCCAACCATCTCCTAATAGACTTATTTCACCTAATTGTCCAGGCCCTAACAACCTCAATATTTTATTTCGTCTGTTCCCATCACTTAAATAAATCATTGATGGACGGACACAACCAGCTTACTAGAAATATTGAAACATGAAAAATACAAAATTCTGGAACAACTATTTGCCATGTTTGAATCATCTGGAGTCTTCTAGCCTCCTACATCAATCACAAAACATGGATATATCTAACTGACATTTTAGACTGTTCTTTTATTATCGAGTTGAATGAAACATAGAATGCTGACACTACTTACAACTTTAGTCAAACAACAGCGGTAGTATACATCATTATCTTTCTTGATCCCAGTTTATGTCAATGAAACATAGAATGTCCATGTACTACTTACGGCATTGATCAAAAGATTTCACACATTCAACTTAGATATCAACTCTTGCAACTTTAAGTAAGATGCATTGATATATATCCATTCTATTTTCATGATGATGCTAAAAACCTATTTTTAAGAATTCTATTGTGAATTTTGATATGGAACACAGTGCTGGAAATGCTAGGGGAACCTTTTTCTTTTTCAGTGAAGGTGAATTTCGGGGAACTGCTCTTGCACCATGCTCTCTTGGTGTCTTCTGTCTAGTTTAAATAGTTGGGCGCAATGATTTCGAGCCATGGCCTCATATTTTTCAGCTGTTGGGAGGAGTGGATAATTTCTTTAGGGGACTTTCTCCCCGCATAAATGAGTTCGCATGTCAACCCACTAATGTTTTCTCCCTCTTCCTTTATTTCCATAGACCAGAGTAAACGTTGGACATGATGCAAACTAGATTCCAACTAAGAAACTTTGAACCCATGTTGCTTCCATCCTATCATGGAGGGATTATAAGCAGATAAAATGAAAATAGCACCACGTACATTCCACTGTCCTGTAATAATATCTAAGAGAAACTTCCACCATTAGCTGAGCTGCAGCAGTCCACACCAGTCCATTGAAGACATTCATGTATAGCAACACGTGGAGTGTGAAGATATTGGTTATCTAGATAGAAAGGGATTTATAGATGCAAGTCATCCCAAGATAAACGAGCATTCATGATTTCCTTAATTTATCAAAAAAAAATCTCGTGTTGCAAAGGACTCATTGGAGTGCGCACGAATTACGGCACATATCTACAAGAGAATCTGGCTTGGAAAGAGAGGATATTCAACTTCCTTCTAAGGGAAAACCTTACTTTTGATAAGAGATTCTTTTTCTTGTGCATCTTGTCCTCCAGAACACATCTCAGGGATTTTTTTAAAGAGAGATGCATCAATACTTTATTTTGCAAACAGGATTCCATTCTATATGTGCATGCCCTTTCCAAGACACCAATCACGGGAATTCTGTCTAGCGCTGCATCTTTACCATTTCCTACAGTTCATTTCGTATTATGATCCATGGCATCAGTCACTTTCTTATAAAGATGGAAGTCTACAGTCACTTCGTTATATCTATCCATAATAACGAAGGAAACAGGTCGTAGTATTGGAGAAAAACAGAAACTCAAAACCGCTGTAAAATCCTGTGGAAAAAGAGCAACAGCACATTAAACGGAAAAACGAGATCAACTAAATGACACTCACCACTAGATGAAGAACCTGACTCGCTGGTCGAACTGCTAGAACTACTATATTTGCTATTTCTCAAAGCTGTATCCTTTTCTATTTCCACTGGAGGGTAGGTTGACATGGGATGATCGCTGCCCAGTATATCTACTTCCTCATCCATCGGATGCTCATTTCCTGAAGATAAAAAATTAACGATTATTTTTTTTCATAAAAGAATATTTTTTAATACAACAAAGCTCCTCATGAAACAGGGAGGAGAACAACCTTTGTAGGGCTGCATTGATGAATTGCTGATGCCAGATTCGTTAAATACCTGCATCAAAGTAAAAATTACATTATCACAAAACTCTCCAGCTTTTGTGGCATTGGGCAGCAATAGAAACATCAGCTGATTGGCATAAATAGCTATCAAGTGCGTACCTCTATTTCACCAAAATCAGCTTTCATCTCATGCTTCAGCTCTTTCCCACAGCAGAAACCATCTAAAAGCTTTCGTAGTTCAAGAAATGTAGTATCATCAAGAGCATCAATATCAATCTCTATTTCATCATCACTGGTCTGGCTCTGGTTACCACTATTTCTCTTCAGGAATTCGATAATGTGGTCCGGTAACACAGGAATCAGGGATTCTAAGCGACTGCTTAGCTTCTGCTTCTCCTCAGCAGTCACTCTTTCCTTCAAATTTTCCACCTCATTTTTTAAACTCTCTGCACCAACTGACACAGTAGAAGCTTGATTTACAGAGGGAGCTTTTCTTTTCTTCATATCTGGAGGTTTCACAGCTTCAGATTCTCTTGCAACACTGGAATCAACTGCAGGAACCTTCTTTTCAATGGGTTTCCATTTTGACTCAAAGAGATTACTCATGGCTTCTGCCATTATGTGGACATCATTCCCAGGCGGATTATATGTCTTTGCATTGGAAAAAGTAAGCCTAACATCTGACGCAAATCCCAAAGGACTGGCGTACGTGCCTAAGGTTAATTTAGTTTTTATAGTTCCAAAATCCATTGGGTGCTTAATAACATTGTAATAGTCTGGAATGTTCAACTTTACTGCATCAACTGGCTCTTTGAAGACCCAAGCATACGGATGCTGCAGTAAACGATTGAGAAGCTGTTCACACTGTTTAATCAATGCTGCATTGTTGCTCTTAGACAAGGAAGCTTGTGAAACGCTTTTCTCAGGCTCAAATCGCCCTGAATGTCCACGTTTTATCTGATAAACACTACGGCCTACAACAGGACGCTTCTTCCCAGAAGCATCAGTTGTTGAGGAAACAGCAACACCATTAACGGCCCTGGAAAGGACTTTTTTCTGTAGTACCTGGATCTGTTCAAGTTCTTCTCTTAGCCTATGCTCCAATGCCTTTTTTTCCAAACTTGACATCAGTGAAACTGAAAAATTTTGCACTGGTACATTGAAGCTATCAGACTTTTCAGTATTTAAGCTGATGCATTTTCTTTTAGGGGCAGAAGAGTCCTCTGAGTCAATGTGACCTGAGTTAATGAAGCCTTCTGACTCACCTACTGTTTCCACTGCATGTCGGTAATCCGGGATAAAGCCTGAAGAGAGGCCTTTTGTGAACCTTTGTGCCTTTCCCATAGTTGATAAAGTTGTATTTTGAAGACCCTTGCGTTTAGTGTACTCTAGGACAACAGTGGATGCCATTAAATGCCAATCATAATCCAGTTATTCATCCCCCAAAATGGATGCCAAATACCTTTGTTAGAACAAAAAAAACTAGGAATCTGGGATAACTACTGTACACAGATCCACAACAAAGTCAGCTTTCTACTTCAACCTTCACAGCAACAGCAGATAAACTTTTTTTTAAAAAGTACAGGTTTTCTCTTTTTGCCAAGCAACCTTGACCGACACCAACATTTGGAGCCTGTTCCACAGGAAGAAACTTCGTCGACCAATTCAACCCACGATATTATTTTCCACTGCAAGTGAAACGGATTAAATTTAAGTATTTGGAGGCTGTTCCATAGAGTCACACTGCGCCGTTCCACTACGTTAGTGGCGCAAACCCTAAACGCCTATATTTCTCCCTTTGTCAGCACCAAGAGAACCCTAGCCTGAAATTCCAAGTAGGACGAAGTTAATAAAAATTTCATCATCATTTCGGTGATATCCATCAATACCGTATTGAGAACAAAAGCAAATCATTTAACTCTGCGATTTTAATACAAACGATAGGAAGAAAAGATTTCAACCTAGATGAAAACAAAACAAAGCACACGACGCAACAATCTTGAGGGGAAAAAAAATGCTCCAACATTTTCCGCAGCAACCACAACCCCGAAGCAAATAGAATGCATCGCCGCCAATAAAAGGGGAAGACTACGCCACGGAGAGACGCGAACAAATAGGAACAAGAAGGATGCAAGAGCAATACCTGCCCGTTCAATCTCCACACGGCCCCCGTTCCCGCCGAAAAACCCTAGGCTTTTGAATCCCCCACCTCCACGGCTCCACTCCCTCCAGCAGCCTTGGCTCCCTGTCCGTTATCTCCCCAAGGGAACGGGGAGAGAGAGAGAGAGAGAGAGAGCCGGTTAAAGATGACTAGGATGGGTATGAGCGTTGGGGTTTATATAGAGGACCCCCCCGAGCCCTTTCACGCCCTGTGTCACCACCGAACTACCCCAGATTCATCTACACCGTCGGAGTCTCCAATCCAACGGTCTAAATGGGCCTTCCCGGTCACCGCGATCTCAAGGCTGAGGCCTTGTCCAGAGTTGGCAGCAACAGGAAGCGGCCTTACACTCATCGAAGGCTCACCTGATCCAACAGTCATCGTGCGGCCTCGTCGGCCAGAAAGCATCCAACGGTTCCCTCCGCTTCGGCTCCGACGAGGGCTAAAACCGCAACATCCTCGTGCGGGGTCATCGGCCACCGTCGATTGCACGCCATGGGAGCTTTCTTCCAGCCGGTTCAAGCCGCGCCGGGGGGGCGAGCCGTGAAAGTGACGTTCCGGTGGAAGCTCATGAGTCACTCGCCTGAAACGTGTCCGCCGAACGGCTCAAGCTCCCAATAAATACATATATAATCTTAATATCTAATCATGACAAGGAAATTTCTCAACTGCATTCAAATAGGATGTTTATCTTCTGAAATATAATTGAGTTTCCTATTTTCATTTACGAACAGTCCATATTATATATATACATATGTATATATATATTCTACATGAAGTATATGGTTGTGTAAAATACTTTCTTGAAACTATTTAATAAGCCAAAAAAATTAAGAATATTTACGAAAAATAATAAAAAATCATATTATGTTACAAATAACAGTTAAAAATGCATCAAACCTTAGGGACCAAAACTTTGCTTTGTAAAGATTGAGACTTGTAGTTAGGTTAAGGCAAAGAATAATAAAGGATAAATCTCTTGCAACTCATAGGCTTCCTCCCTATGAACCTCCATGATCACATGTTTAGTATAGTAAAGTAAGATTACTCACGTGGAACTTCACACCCAACAATTAGCTTGACAAGGCACAGCAAGGTGTGCATAACATGATGGGCATAAAGGCATGGTAAAAGCACACAACATGGCATGACATGTCATGTGTGACATAATCAATGAAATAATAATTAATCTTATATTACTTAATTAAAAAATCATGAGCCCAAATTCCTCTATATTAAAAGTTAGCCACAATATTATGTCACTTTGAGTATGGTAATAAGAGTCTTACTTTGAGCTAACACACAATTGAAACATTCTGACAAGTAACCATGTGACAAAGTAGTGTCAAAGTATAACTTCATTGTCCATGTTAAGTTATTAATTTTATGGTTGAGGAGAGTGGTACCAATGGTGAGTGAATTATCCATCTTGAAGAGCATATGACTAATTTTATTATACCATAAAGACCTTAGATGCCTAAATTCAAAAGATTATGCAACAAGTTGTGAAACTATTATCGATACTAGTGTGGACAAAATATGAGAATTGAAAAAGTCTATATAAAGTAGTAAATAACCTCATAGAAGAGGTGCCACAAACAAACCGTCTACAAAATAATGCACCAATAGGCAAAGTCATGACATGGGTTAAAATTTTAAAACTAAAAACTTTTACAAGTATTAAGGATGTTTAAGAAACCAAAATTTTCTTATGGATGTTGACTAATACTTCCAAGTGAACTAGACACTAGAGGAGGAGAAGGTATCAATTGCCACCGCACCTATTATAAGATATCCCTTTGTGGTAGGAAATGTAGGTAGAGTATGAGTTGCCCATACCTTATTGGATAATATACATATTTCTCTCTAGAGCTTAGAGAATAATTTCAACCTTCAAAGATACATTGGCAACTTGAGATGTGTTTCACTAACAAAAACACAATGAAACCATATATGAGTATGCGAGACAATTCATGTCACTTTTGTTGAAGCTCAATGATATAGCTAAGTAAGAGAAAGTTTATAACTTTATTATAGGATTATAGTCCTAGGCTCTAGTGAAGTTGTGACAACTCAATGTTTGAAATCTCTTAATAGTCTTTGTAGTAGCGGAGGCACTACAAGATTATTGTACGTCACGAATTACCAAAGAGATGAATGCCAATTAGTAATAGTGCTAAGGTTGAGTCCTCTAATTGGATTGGCCAAGGAGGGTTAATAGTGTCCAATATTGTGCAATAGGTAAATTTTATGTAAACTAGTTGTATGTCTGAGGATCACATCAAAATGTACACTGTTTAAATTAGATACATGAAAGAGAAGTGAAAATAAAATTTAAGATTGTTGTCATAAAATAATGATTATCTATGATTTTGAATCATGGTCTTGTTTCTCTCAACCCAATGTAGATATTGGGAGCATTGTAGAGTTAGACGCTGTCTAGTGGGCCATGACATTTTATCTTTATAATGCTCATCATCAATTACTATCCTAGGTAAGTGATGGTGGATGATAGAACAAGAGACAAACTAACTAGGAGTAAAGCCACTTTGAGGAGACAATCAGATCAAGACTATGAATTTAGAAGTTTGAGCCCTAAAGAGGGTATGCCACACTATGTGTGGGATCATAGGAGGAGAGGATAGAATTCTTAGTCCTGTTGAGGATGACTTTGATTTCACCTTCAACCTTGATTTCTTTGTTCAAACAAAAACATGTCTTTCTCTACTGAACAGAGTGTTACTTAAATGAGGTGAGTTTCTTTATTTTACAATAGGGGCAACAAGTATTTGTCAGATTTCTACATGATCTCAGCACTATAACTTTGGGACAATTTAAATATGGAGAAGAAACATGGACATCTAAAGGGCCAAGTTGGCTTCCTCCATAAGCCCCCCACCTCCTAGTGGCGTTTTGGGAGATTAATGTCATTGCATTGGTACTAAGAGAGCACTAGTTGGCCTGGGTCTCCTACAAGATGTCTCTAACATCTCTTATGTAGTTGCAAAGATAATTGAATGCAACCTTGAAATAGCTCATATTTGGCCATTAAAAGCTCTATTTAGAGCCTAGATACTCTTCAAATGGAAGGCCAACACACTCAAACATTTTGTAAATTAAAAAACTTTTGAACAAAATCACTATTCAAAACAAGTATCTTATTTTAAACATATATAGTATTGTACTTATTGAGAGGCACCAAGGTCTTTTCCTACTTAAAACTCAAAAGCAATCACTATTAAGTACACATCAAGGAGAGTGATAATCCAAAGATAGTACATATTATGTGAGGTAAGTCTTCACCAATGCCCATACACTTTTTTTACTTTAATGACTTCATCTTCAGACATTACTTGAATCAATTCGTACTTATTCACTTAGATGATATTTTCATATGTAACTAAAACTTAAAGGAACACAATAAGCAACTATGTAAAGTAATAGAGACATTTAGGAACAATACATATTCCTCAATTTAGTGAAGCATGTATTCATTATAGAAGAAATTTACTTCTGCAACCATGTGATAGAGGTGTCATGGTATACAAATAGATGATAAAACATTTGTGCTATTGATAAATAGCTAGTACCTTAAGGAGTATTGGAGTTATGATTTTTCTTAAGCATAATCAATTGCTATCATATATTTATTTGCACATTCTCTCAACTTTTGATATCAAAAAATTAATTATTTCATGAGGACACAAAGTAGAAATGAGTAGAGGAATGACATAAGGTTTTCAATAGCATGTGAAATGCTACCACCAATTAGTTAGTCTTTTGGTTGTCTAATTTGTCAAGATCTTTCTAAGTTCACATTGATGCATTGAATATGGCCATTAATAATGCTTTATTTTTATATAATAACTAAAGTAAAATTCAATTAATTGTCACAGACATCAATATAAATACTCATAATTAAAATTAAAATATTTTAGTGCTAGTTTGAAAATTGTGATAAATTTATGCTAATTCAATAATTTTAATAATTTATGTAATATGAATATGTTTCTAATTTTTAATCTAGGTACTAACATGATTATTCAAGGTTTATAAGCTTGATAATTATTTTAAAATTGATAGGAAATTAATCCTGAAGTTAAAATTTAGAAAATATATTATTCTTAGATATTTTAGAGAATTTGGAAAGAAAATTTTCATTTTTTGTTAATTTATAAATTATCAAAATAATTACCAAAAAAGACAACAATTCGTGGCCACATCAACAAGGGGGCATGTCAAGGGTTGA